TTATTATAGTATTCAAAATCAATTTTGATAAAGTAGAGGTTTTTCAATTCTCAAATAAATTCTATATTTCTTTCATTCCAAATCTAAATTCTAGATGAATAAATCTTTTAACGCTCATATTTGATAATATGAATATTATGATTGGATGTTCTATTAAATTGACTAATTAACGGTTTTGCAATTATATTCTATTAATTAAACATATGATGTTAAATCTAAGTTTTTCCATTTATAATATATATGCTAAGAGAAATGAGTATTATTTTATGAAAAGAATTTGTAAATTAATAAAATCGTTATATTACAAGAATTAATCAAATTTGTTTTGATCTCTTAGCTCTAGATTAATCAACCGACACTACTTTTTCAATAAAATTTTCCTGTTTCTTTTTTCGTCCTTTTCATAAAACTCTTATGTATGAAAATATTGTAGATTACTTATACTTTAGTTTAGATGATGCTTTGAATATTAATATTGGTAAAGCTATAAAATCTAGATAAAATTCAATTAATAAATTTGAATTTTATTAATAATCAAATTGCGAAAAAATAGAATCCTTTGGTTTTGAGATTGTTGTTCTAATAGATCCTAAATCACTTTCCAAACTATTCTACATTATAATCCATCTTCTAAGTATCCAATCTTGCACTATAAACTTAGCCCTTAGAAGCAATCAAGAAACTTCTGGTAAATAAGAAAAGGAACACTAACAACATACTCTAATTCAAAATAGTTTCCATCATCACATAATTCGCCTCCTAATATATAACCATTCGCAAAATTTTAAAGGGCAAACTTCATTAATCAATAACAACCCATTCTTTTAACTATCTTTACGTATTCTACAATTACAAATATTACATCCTTATGGACATTAAACTAGGCATTTGCAACAAACATTTTAATCTTATGGTAAATCTCTATAATGCTCATATTTATTTTGATCATATGTAGAATTACAATCATCAGACTCTTCTTCTATACTTGAATAAAAACAATTTCCACAAAACCCTATGCATTAATTAAAACAGTATTAATTAAAATAATCTTTCTAAATAATCGATAATCACTAAAGTATTAACAGGATTAACCATCCCAAAAGCATTTTTTCAGTAAAAATAGCAGTTAGCATCCGCTATTTAAATGAAATAATAGAAATTGGCATTCCTAACAGTATAGTTACATGCAAGAAGCTTTCTAACGATGTCTATATGAGTTTGAATGGGGTAACATCAAATGAACTGCAACTTCGCAGATATTTTAATAAGCATTAGAATACTTATAACAGTCTTAATTATATATTTTTTTCGCAAGCCTCTTTATATGTACACTTTGTGCTTATTGTAAATTAGATTTTTTATCAAAAACTTGCACTGTTGCAATCTTAATGTGATTTAGGTTAAGCCATGCTACAGTGATAATCGATTAAGGTATTCGTTCAGAAATGAATTAAATAATACTTGAACTATAGTAACTATTATTAGAACATTTATAAGTGTAAACTGAACACTAAAAAATTTGTGAATTTTAGTAAAATATAACCATAACTTCTTTTCAAATTGGATTATATTTTTTCTTTTAATTATATCCAAATTATATTCTATATTGATTAATTGATGAATTAAAAAGAGATTATGAACCTATCTTCAAAGCAAATGAAATCAATAATACACAGTAATATCAATTTGTATCATACCTTTATGAAAATGAATAGTCTTAACATTATTGATATTTGTCTGAGAGGGTGGCTAAAGATTAAAAGGTAAAATTCTGTTTTATTATTATAAACTGAAATAGTAACTAGAGTAACAAAAACTTAAAGACGTGCAGTCATATTTATATTAACATAATTATCCAAGTAATTTTTGTTAAGCCATATCACCTACTAAAAAAAATTTTTTGGGAACAATCAGTATTCTCAGGACATCTAGAAGTAAAAATCATATATATCAATTACATATTGATATTATCCTTACCAACACAAAAAGTATTAGATAATCGACAGAATTCATCACTTTTACTTTCAGTAATTACTTCACATTAATTTGATGGTTGAGTAGTGGTAAAAATATCGAAATGTATGCATTTTGGAATTCACACTACACATTCTTATTTAACTAATTACTTTTATTATTTCATTCTATTTATTTATAAATTCTAACAATATGGATTCAAGCCAAATAAAAATACCCATACCTATAAAATCAATACAACTTCATATGGAAAAGGTATAATTTAACATCCTCCATTAAATTATCTATATCATTTGCAGATTGGGGACAAAATCTATAACTAGAATAAATTGGAGAATGATAATATTATCTTTATTCACATTTATTTTCATACTATACACAGTCTAATTAGTTTATTGATTAGCAACCAATTTTAAAAGCATAACCTTTACATGATTAGGTCTATTTTTACGTCCCTTTATTTCTGAAATACACATAATTTTATCAGTCTCAATAAAACAAAATTTAAAAGATTATTATAATCGATAATTCGAGAGTGAATTTGGAGCAATGTCGCAGATATAGATAAACAAAAAAACTTATTCTATGAATTACTTCATTATTTCCTTTGACAAAATGAATTCCTCTTTAGTTGTATAACATTTATAGTTTAAATTCATCTTTAAAAATTATTCAACCTTATGCATACTTTACAATCAATTCAATATGACTTACATTAATAATCCTAAATAAATGGAAGATTTTCACACACCTTTTCAACACATTTTGCTTTAGTTTTATTCCAAAACAATATTCTTTTACTTTCAAAACATTAACATAATATGAACATGACTCCATTTATTCGATAATTCCATAACCATATTCGATTATAATAAAACCATCAAAACATTCTTTGCATATGCTATTATTTGTTAAATATATCGGTAACACTTTGCATAAAGTTAAAATAGATTATTTTTCACTTTCCCCACAAACCAAAAGCAATAATTACAATACTAATTTTTATTAGCACATTCATTCTCTAATTTATAACTCTACATTCTAAAAATTATAAGCAAATTGAACCATCAAATTCACATTTATATGAAGATTCTTAACAATTATCTTTATCAAATATGCTGCAATCTATCAAGTGAAAAAATTATTCTCCGAAATACACAAACAAAATTTACATTCATTTGAACTTCCAAAAAGCTCACAAACACATTTTTTAAAATCTCTCCGAATTCCTTTTTACAAATGATTGGATGAAAAAAAGACAATGGAACGGTTTTTAAATCTTTTTAATACCTATATATATATATTTGAATTAGAAATGAAAAAGTCTCTGAATTAATTTCATAACAGGACTACCTAAGTTTACATTTAAGAATTTGATCATAGAGTTATTAAATAATACAAAATTAAAATAAATACAATATATAATTCATGATTCCACTCACATCATCTTGTTAGTAATTTCTGAAAACTTAGGATTTAAATTAAGAATTATTTGTATTTAAATAAAAAAAATCACTAGGTCAATATTTTACATCAAAATTACTTGATCAACACTAATAATAATAAGAGAAAAAGTCAAAAATAAATTCTTTAAAATATTGATATTTTCCTATCATATATGAGAAAATTTGAGAGAGTAATTGGCTCAATGAACCATAGATTTTCATTAAGGAATTATGAATAAATAAAAAATAGATTTGTGAGGAAATAGGGCTACAAATTTTATTATTAATACATAAATATTATTATTAATAAAGAAAAGATTTTCACTTTAGATATCTTCCATCAATTTTGAAAAGTTATAGAACAAAAAAAAGATTGATTTTTATTTGAAATAGTATATATAAGTTAATTTAATAAAAAGTAATAAATATTTTATAGGAAAAAACAAAAATTATTCCATCTAAATCTTGGATTTCATAACTAAATATTATGTTCAATATCTTTAGGGTTTATTAAATATTTCAAATGTTAAACTACATAGAAATCAATCAAGAAATCTGAAATAACAAAATAATCATCTAAAGAGAGATTGAATTTAGAACCAATATTGAGATTTAATGTTATTAATAATACATCTCTTTAATTTGATTAATTTTATTGAGTTGATTGTAATTAAAAAATTGTAAGAATTTATTTAAAAAAATAAACCATTACAAAATAGAAATATTTTTAAAGATTTAGAAAAGAATTTTCTAAGAATTCATTTCAATTCGATAAATTTTTTTTTATTTGTAATTTATCCTTTGAAAAATAGAAATAAATGTGCTTCACTTTAAATGAATATTCATCATAAGATATAAAATAGAAAATTATTTTCTAATTCTATTTTTTCTATTGTAAACTGATTTTATAAATCAATCAGACACATTTCAAAAATAATTTCTTCAACGACTATGACATTTTACTATTTTTTTAAACCTAAAATAGAGGAAATATAAAACAATTGAGATCATAAGGTTTAGGATTTTATTGGATCATTTTCATTTTATGTAAGTTATCAAAATAACTGATAATAATCATGATGGTTGCTGTTTGCTAAACTAGGTGATATGAATGATTTCTGATCAAGACTAAGAGGTATTAGAACTCTTTCTCATTTTGACATACAAATTTATTTATTTCAATCGACAACTTTTATAATTATGATCTTCTTAAAATTTTCGATTCAAAATCAACTTACCATTTACTAATTATATATTATATTGTTTGAGAATTCTAAGAATTTAATATAAAGAACAAACATAAAATGAGCTTATATTTATTAAAATTTAATGTGAATCCTAAATTAATCATCTTTAACTGTATATCTCAGAAAAATTAGTTCCAAAACGCTTTTTATATTTTCCTTTTTATTTTAACAAAATTATTGTGATAAATTAGGTAGCATTCATTCTTCTAAGCTATGAATTTATTTCATGTTGAAATGCAATTTAATGAATTAAATTAATGTTTTAATTAGCACTTTTAGCTTATGATTTTAATATATTTTTAATTCTAAAAATATTTTAAGAGATCATTTATATTATAATATATCTATTCTAAAATAATTATATATTAATATGTTAAATCTAGAAAAGAATATTGTTATATAGGGGATTAAGCACAATTAAAAATTGAAATTATTACTTTAAATATGAACGATAAATTCCTCAATTATAGATTTAAGCAAATTTAAATTTTACCTCATATTAGTAATAATTGCTCAAATTTAAAATAAATATCAGTAGACAGTTAGTAATTAAGATGTAATTTTAAATTAAAAATATGTAAACATTTTGATTATAGAAGATAAGATTTCAGCAAATATCATAGAGAAAGTAAATTTCAATTTAAATTCTAACTTATGGAGAATATTTTTAGAAAAATGTATTTTCAGTTTTCTTTTTAATTGAACTTCAAGATGGATCATTTATAAATTTAAGAAAAGATTATTTATTTTTTTAAAAACAATTTATTTACTAATTGTTTTTGAAAAAGGTGGCAATATATGTATTAAATATTATTTATGCATACCTGCTTAACTATTTTAAATATTAAAAGGATGGATAATATAGATTATAGTATTGAATAAAGAGGTAGATTTTCACTTATATATTAATAAAATATAAATAGTTTTGTGCTTCAAATTCACTGATGTATTACAATGCTTAAACGATAATGTTAAGCACTTTTCTAACATTGTAATTGGTAACAACCACTTTAAGATTAATATTGATTAGAAGTAAGTTAGGGTGCAATATAAATCTTTTTATCTATTTTCACTCAAATATAAGAACAAAAATATATTCTCAATCATAAATTAAATGACATTAAACAGTTTGTTAATTCAAATCCAATTTGAATTATCGTAAAGATATTCGCATGTGAATCTAGAACTNTTTCATTTTATGTAAGTTATCAAAATAACTGATAATAATCATGATGGTTGCTGTTTGCTAAACTAGGTGATATGAATGATTTCTGATCAAGACTAAGAGGTATTAGAACTCTTTCTCATTTTGACATACAAATTTATTTATTTCAATCGACAACTTTTATAATTATGATCTTCTTAAAATTTTCGATTCAAAATCAACTTACCATTTACTAATTATATATTATATTGTTTGAGAATTCTAAGAATTTAATATAAAGAACAAACATAAAATGAGCTTATATTTATTAAAATTTAATGTGAATCCTAAATTAATCATCTTTAACTGTATATCTCAGAAAAATTAGTTCCAAAACGCTTTTTATATTTTCCTTTTTATTTTAACAAAATTATTGTGATAAATTAGGTAGCATTCATTCTTCTAAGCTATGAATTTATTTCATGTTGAAATGCAATTTAATGAATTAAATTAATGTTTTAATTAGCACTTTTAGCTTATGATTTTAATATATTTTTAATTCTAAAAATATTTTAAGAGATCATTTATATTATAATATATCTATTCTAAAATAATTATATATTAATATGTTAAATCTAGAAAAGAATATTGTTATATAGGGGATTAAGCACAATTAAAAATTGAAATTATTACTTTAAATATGAACGATAAATTCCTCAATTATAGATTTAAGCAAATTTAAATTTTACCTCATATTAGTAATAATTGCTCAAATTTAAAATAAATATCAGTAGACAGTTAGTAATTAAGATGTAATTTTAAATTAAAAATATGTAAACATTTTGATTATAGAAGATAAGATTTCAGCAAATATCATAGAGAAAGTAAATTTCAATTTAAATTCTAACTTATGGAGAATATTTTTAGAAAAATGTATTTTCAGTTTTCTTTTTAATTGAACTTCAAGATGGATCATTTATAAATTTAAGAAAAGATTATTTATTTTTTTAAAAACAATTTATTTACTAATTGTTTTTGAAAAAGGTGGCAATATATGTATTAAATATTATTTATGCATACCTGCTTAACTATTTTAAATATTAAAAGGATGGATAATATAGATTATAGTATTGAATAAAGAGGTAGATTTTCACTTATATATTAATAAAATATAAATAGTTTTGTGCTTCAAATTCACTGATGTATTACAATGCTTAAACGATAATGTTAAGCACTTTTCTAACATTGTAATTGGTAACAACCACTTTAAGATTAATATTGATTAGAAGTAAGTTAGGGTGCAATATAAATCTTTTTATCTATTTTCACTCAAATATAAGAACAAAAATATATTCTCAATCATAAATTAAATGACATTAAACAGTTTGTTAATTCAAATCCAATTTGAATTATCGTAAAGATATTCGCATGTGAATCTAGAACTATTTCAAATGCTGAAATGATTGATTAAATAAATATATTTTACTAATAATTTGATCCTCCAGTTAATAATAAGTAAAAAATCAAAAATTCTATTGTATTAATTTATCAAATTTAGTTTTAAATATAATGACCTGAAATACCCATAAAGCATTTCAAAATTAAAATTAAAAATAGTTGATTATGTTAGATTTTATCTTCAAACTTAATAATAATTTCAACTATTTAAATCATCATAATGTTCATAAAGTTTTTATGAAATAATATTTCTATTTGTAATATTAGATTCTTTTAGAGTATTTTAAATTTGAATGATTAATGTATTTCAAAGTTGAATTCTTATTCATTTATCCTTTAATATAAGAATTAGTCATTTATTTTAATTAAACAAGAATGCCTTATTAGACTTCTATTAAAATCTTCTTAAAAAAATAACCTACCATATTTAATTTAAAAGATATATATTTTTGATAAAATTTTAAATCAAATCATTTTCACTTTAACAAAAAAAATCATTTTATATTAATTTAACAAACTTCTCTTTATTAAAGTAAAAAATCAAATTCAACTTTAGTCAAACAAAATTATAAGCAGATAAATAAAATTGATAAATTCTCTAATATAATTTATTGAATCATTTGATTATAGACATAATTTCATCTTCATCATACTTAATTTTATTTTTTCTCCAATAAATAATTAGTTTTACATAATTTTATATATTGAATATACTTCCCA